TGAGTACATTATCTGTACATTTTTGTTCTGGAAGTGAACTACTTTTTTAAAGTAAACCCAGGGTGCTGTTTGATAAATAATTCACTGAGACTGAGTTTTTGCCATTTTTATTTTATTTACATGCACAACTTGACATGTAAAGTTGCCTACTGTGGTGTGCTTCTGATGTTTATATTTTGCACATTTAAATATATCTTGACCCAGAACCAAAGAATTCACTACTTTGTGTATGTCACATCTATTCATAAAAACATTACTGTTGACAATCATAGGCTATGTGACACGTTATATTGACATTACTGAGGCAAATAAAGTAATTGTAATAAATTAACTTTAGAAATCTCCAATGTCTGTTGCTTGAATTCACAGTCATTGACACCATGACAGAAAAAAACTTGGACATAAAAATAGTGGGCAAATCAATTAATTATAATGCATATTGCATTTGTTTACACAAGTTATCTTCTTCAATCATGTCAGATCTCAGAATTGTGATGGTGGGGAAAACTGGAGCTGGAAAGAACGCAACAGGAAACACCATCCTGGGACAAAAAGCTTTTAAAGAAGAATTTTGTTCTGAATCTGTGACTGGAAAATGCCAACAGTATCAGCGGAGGCTAGAAGGTAGAATTATCTCAGTGATTGACACTCCAGGGGTGTGTGACACATCAATGCGTGAACAAGACCTGAAGGATGAAGTAGTGAGATGTGTAGAAATGTCTCTTCCTGGTCCTCATGTGTTTCTACTGGTCATCAGACTGGATGTGAGATTCACAGTTGAGGAGAAGAACACAGTAAAATGGATTCAGGAGAACTTTGGAGAAGATGCTTTACATTACACCATCATTCTTTTTACTAGAGGGGATCAGTTGAAAACATCTATAGAGGAGTTTCTGACAACAAACAAGCAGATGAATGAGCTAATCAAACAGTGTAAAGCTGGTTATCAGGTTTTTGATAACACAAATGAAAATCAAGCACAGGTTAGTAAGCTGTTATGGAAGATAGACACAATGGTGAAGGACAACAGACGAGAGCATTACACAAATCAGATGTACCAGGAAGCTCAAAGGAAAATCTGGGAAGAAGAAGAGAGGCAGAGAGAGGAGGACAAGAGATTAAGGCAAGAAGAGGAGATAAAGATAAGGAAGGATGAACAAAAGAGACTTGTCAAGACTGCTAAAATGGGAGCCTTGGTGGGAGCAGGTGTAGGAGGAGTGATTGGAGGTGTAGCACTGGCAGCGGGAACTGGATTGGCACTACCTGCAGCTTTAATCACAGGAGGTGCAACTCTTGCAGGAGGAGCGGGCGCAAAACTTATCGCAGATACGATTAACAGGAAGCAGAGTAAAAAATCAGCGAACAAGAAAACAGTTACAGTTATTGCGACACCTTGAT